CCAAGCATAGAACCGTAGATGATGCACAATTAAGTTGATAGTATGTCATCGCCGTGATGTAATCACAAGCTATTGGTGAGTCGTGCAAGCAATACATGAAAGGGAAAGCTAGCGGTCATAATTTGCAAAGATGGAAGACACAATGAAGGTGAACAGAGTTCGGACCAAATAATCACAACAGAAGCTTATACTACCCGAATAAGGCGAAGGGGACGGGGGTCTTAGATCCGACCAATGCAGACATGGATGGTATGGAAGATTCGGGCATGATCTGAAATTTGTGAGGAGCATGGTTAGACTAAGAAGAACCTTTGTGTGTAGTGTAGGGTAAATAAGGCAACTGGACCCGTTATGAACAAAGCGGCTCACCGTGGAGTCGATGTACTCCACTTAACGGCTCCCGATACACTGTGGTAGAGCTGCCTGCGACCGGTCGTCTGGCGGCTCTCGGCACACATCTGTATATCTTCTCCGCGTCAAGGGGACGAAATGTAGATCGAGCCGGATCGAGATGGAAACCCTAGAGCCGCCAAGAAGGAGATGGCGGAGGCGAGGAGCGCGGTTGACGCACCGAGGACGGCGGCACTGTGCTGCGTGAGAGCATCGCGAGGAGCAAGATCCGGAGGGAGAGGTGCGGAGGGCGAGATATTGCGGTGGGCGAAGGCGGAGGCGGCGATGCGGTGTGGGGGCGACGGCCGCGCCCGTGCAGGCGAAAGCACCTGTGAGGGTCGCGAGGCTCGCGCCTAGGATGATGTGCCGCCCGTGGTACGCAAAGGCGACGCGGTGCTTAGCAAGCAGAACCTCGCGGGCGGGCGGGCTGGCCTTTCGGTGGGGGTGGGCACGGTGCGGAGGAGGGACGACAAGCGTCGGGAAGGAGCAGAGAGTGGGGAAGGAAAAGCAGAAGCTGGAGTATTTTTTTTTAATTTTCTTTGCCGAGGGCCATTGGCCCCATGCCCCAGGAAGATCCCCTTTGCCGAGGGCCAGGCTAAGCCCTCGGCAATTTTTTTTTTGGTTTTTGAACTCAGTTTTTTGGTGGTGCTATAATACATTATTTAAAACTCAATTTTAAAATTTGGGTCAATTTTGACTTTTTTTATATATTTCCTAATTTATTTTTTTTTCGTTGATTTTTTTGAATATTTCAAATTTGAGCTCGCAGTGGATGGAATAATGCAATTTAGTGATTCAAAAATGTTATTCATGGTATTTGGTATGTTGAGTGTTGAGTCCTATCACACGAACTGCATCAAATTTGAGGCATCTTCTTCACGTAAACATGAAACTTGTCGAAAAGGTGTTTTTAAATTATATAAAATACACATCTCCATGAAGGGACTAAATGTGATGTGGATATGTCATGTTTCGTGCATCCGACGTCGCAACTAAAAATTGAGAAACCTTCTCAATTTTTTACCACAGCCTACACATGTGATAACATGACATCTCGCCAAGTTTCGTGATTTTCTGACTTCAGATGGATTTTATATAATTTTAAAACACTTTTCCAAGAAGTCGGTCGCCCATGTTACGCTTAACAAGATGCATGAAAATTTGATGCGAGCTCGTGGATAGGGACTCAACATGCACCAATTAACATGAATAACATTTTCAAACACTACATTGCAATATTCCATGCACTGCAGATTCAAATTTGACATATTAAAAAAAATCAAAGAATCGAAATAAATTAAGGAAATATACAAAACAAAATCAAAATTGGCCTAAATTTTAAAATTGAGTTCAAAACAATGTATTGTAGCACCACAAAAAATCTGGGCTAAAAAAAAAAAAAATTGCCTAGGGTTTCGACCCATGGCCCTCGGCAAAGAATTTTAAAAATAAAATAAAAAACTTTGCCGATGGCACAGTGCAGGGCCTCGGCAAAGACTTAAAAAATTGCAACCTTTGCCGAGGGGCTCGACGGGTGGCCCTCGGCAAAGTTTGACGGAAATGGCCACCGTGACCAAACGGGCCTACTTTTGCCGAGGGCATCTAGGGCCTCGGCAAAGATTTGATTTGCCGTGGGCCTGTCTTTGCCGAGGGTCGTACCCTCGGCAAAGACCTCTTTGCCGAGGGCCGTTCTTTGTCGAGGGCTCCTGTGTCTGGCCCTCGGCAAAGAGTATCTTTGCCGAGTGCCCGATATTTGGCCCTCGGTAAAGCCTCAGGCCCTCGGCAAAGTACGCGTTTCCAGTAGTGGTGCATGCTAGCTAGAGAACTGCTTCGGCCGATGAACTTTAGAGCTATATTACGATCATATATACAAATAAAAGTGTCCTGTGATGGCCGGCAGCAGGAAGTAAATAAATAGTATCGGTTGGCGTATGCATGCATGCATGTATCACGTACCATGCGCACAGCATATAGTAGTACCAGGCTACCACAGGAATGCTGTCGATGATTGCACGGAAAAGCTAGCAGCTTTTGTTTGGACGGCAAAAAGGCACTGCAATGATGGTCCACAACGATATACTACTACACTCCATTCAGCGTTGCCGCGTGCAAGATAACAAAAGGTAACCCCAATGCAAGGAACAACATAAATACCTACTCATCTGCATTTTTTATTACTATATAGTACTCTGCTATATATTATTTATGGAGGAGAGGCCGGTGGGTAAAGAAAAGAAGGCAATCGACTTTGGCAAAATTATATTATTTTGTAGGGAAACAACCGTTGTATACTTAAGTTATATACCACCTCAATCCTGAAATACAAGCTATATATGCAAACAATTTTATAACCAAATAAGGCATGTGGCAAATGACCAACTTGTTCGTCACTAATTAATTAGTTTGGTCGTCCTTAATTTCCTATGACAAGTTTAAAAAAGCAAGCATGCATATGCATGTCATTGATTTCGGCTACCAAATTACATGAATCATTTTGGTCAAGATGGTGTTTAAACAGCATGCATTGGTAGCATTTAAAATATATATTGATTGATAGGGTGTGGCAATTCATAAGACCTTAATTCGAGAGAAATTTTAAAACTTTGATGCCTTTATTTCAGGACATATGGAATAAATATATCATGTATCTCCACAACACATTACACTAGTGCTCGACACTACTAGAGAAATGGGCTTTACAACATTCACATTGTTACAACCAGCAATAAATAAGCATGCATGTAGTGATAATTCGTAGCACTTGGGCGGTTATCTTAGCTTATGCTTTTTTTTTATCTACACACATACTATATATGCGACCGTGGAACTACTTTTTGCATACTCCCCTACTTAATTTCGAGTATAGTGATAGTGTTGTCCATCAGAGAAGAGAGTGGTAGCTGCAGTTGGTTACGCATTGCATGAATGCATGCGTTGTTTACCACTAGATGCTGCTGCTGCTAATAAGTAGTATACAGCTAGTGCTAATTAAATTAAAGCAGGATGGGGATGGATGATGCAAGACTAGATAGATTATTAAACTAACTACACTAAAGCCCTGTTTGTTTAATTCCTGCTTATAACTGGATTTTGTCGGTGAAAAAAACGAGAATGACACCAAACGCTTCGATTAGCCAATATAAACGTATGCAATGCCTTGGTGTTTGGGTTGTCCTGCATAGGCAAGCCACATCCAATAAAATTGTGTTTGTTTGTTTACATTTTATTACCTATAGTCACCTTATATGTTCTACTAGGGGTCTCATGTTTCTAATGAAGGTAGAGAATCTGAGAATGTTCTGTTTATTTTATTTTTGTGTACTCATCGTCGTCTTATGCATTGCATTTTCTAATAGAAAAAAATCTAGCGTACTAGCTAATGCTACAGTGCCTACTTTGAACGTCGTATAAGTCTATGTAAGAGTTTCTGCAGGCAACCAAACACGAGTAAACAAATACTATTGCACAAATTAAACCTAGATACATGCTAACGGAGGCAATTAATGAGACCCTATATGAATATGAATATGAATATGCATGCACACGGGTTCATATATGTAAGCAGATGGAGGTAGCTAAGTTAGTTGTTGAGATTTGAGGCCACTAGAGTAGCTAGACGGGGGTAGCAAGCAATAGCATGGGTACTACGGTGTGGCAGGTCAGGCATGCCAATTAAAACAAAAGCCCGTGAGTGGTGCGAATAAAAGCAAGCATAGAGAGGAGGACATGCAAATCCAAGGAAAGCATGCAGGGCCAACGCAAAAGACCAAAGAAAGTGCCACCACAACCACATGAAGCGCTAGGGCACGGGCTGAAGGTGACAAAAGAGAAAAGGCATAAGCAAGGGCCATGTCCTATGTCCATGCATGCATGCTAAGCTAGCTACCAATTAAGCTCTCTCTCTCTCTCCATGCGTCTGTATATGTATGTTTTTTCTTTGGTAGACGACTCACGACCGACCACAGCAGGCAGCAGAGAAGAGAGGCCAGACGTACTCGATCTGCTGTACGTGTCACAATGCAAATGCAAGCTAGTACTTTATACTATGTATGTAGTGCCTTAATTATTGACAACTTGGGCCTTGTACAAGCTCACGCATATGCATATGCATGCACGTACGTACGAGGTGGGCATGGACGACGACATACATATATACAGAATATATATATAGAAGATGCATGATTCATATATACTCCGTATATGATGACTGGATTGGACATACATACAGATACAGGCACAATATAATGCACTGGACGGACGTCACAAGCGACGTCTCGCCAAAAGCAGCATTATAGTAGTGGTATTCAGCAGCAAGCTAGCAGTACCCCCATAACAAGAAAACAACCAACAGACGTCGTCTGCCTGTCTATCTATCTATATATCATACATCCATGGAATGTATTACTTACTGACTGCATTGGGATGTGTGTGTGTATATATCATCTAGAGCTAGCTATGTGTATATCTGTGCATGCATAATAGGTATACGTACGTAGCAGCTAGCTGAATTGCTTGCATTTGCATTGAAGATTTGGAGTATATATGTATCATCATGTAGATGTAGCCGGCCCGGCCGGCCGGGGAATTGATCGATGGATCGCTAGTCGTCGTCAGTCGAACTGGACGATGGAGCTGTAGACGTTGTCGGGCTGCCAGTCCGCTGGGATGACCTGGTCGGCGACCAGCGTCTTGCCGGACTCGTTGGTGACGCGCAGGGAGAAGGGCCCCTGCAGCGGCCGGCGGGTGTCCATCCTCCAGATGGAGCCCCAGGACTCGCGCATGGGCTCCCACACGCCGGTGGGCTCGCCGTCGTCGGGGCGGGACTCCATGAGGTCCACCTGGACAACGTCGCCGTCGCCGTTCTCATACTCCACCAGCACCGCCAGGTAGTTGGGGTTGGACCCGCGCTCGATGTGGAAGGTCACCGTCAGCCCAGGGTACTGGCACGGAACCCTGCAATTGGCAATCGGCAATTGCAAGTAATTGCATGCAAACCCGGGCGGCCCGGCAGCACAACACACATACATAATAATAAGTAGGTGTAGTGTTTTTTTCGTAATTAATTAATACTATATATCATTAACTTCATTTAGCTAGCACTAGCAGCACCATTTCTACATACATATATATGCCTGTGTTGCTACTACTTGCTAGCTAGCTACACTGTCAGTGTCACCGTACTCGATCTGTCTTATTAGCTTGTTGTTGTTGTTGTCATACACAGGTAGTACATCTTAACTAATTAATTTTGTGGTTTAGTATGTACGACACTGACATATATATATGGTAGCTAGCTAGGTTTTATTTATTCGGTAGCTAGCTTAGCTACAATAAAGTGCCTCTCTGTATATATATGGACACCCTATGAATACATACATATATACATTGACACATATGTGTCACATCCGAAATATACTGTCAAGTGTTAAGGACAAGGAAATGTTGACTTATGCATATATATAAATAATAAATGCTGATGGTGATGCCAATCTGGTGCTCACTGCTTAATTTACTTTACCTTACTTCAATTGTAATTTTCAGAGAAATGTACATATGCAAATAACCATTCAAGTTAATTTTGCACTAGCTAGCTACTTCATCAGTATATATATATATATATATATATATATATATATATATATATATATATATATATATATATATATATATCATTAATTAGTTTTGGATTAATTTGGGCCCATGCATACATATTATATATCAGTTGAAGTACATGCATGCATAGACTACTAGAAATGGAATAGATAGATAGATAGATATCTAATACTACTCGGATCCGTAGGTACTTGCATTGCGGCCGTTAAAGAGAGAAAAAAAGAGGAAAATTAATGTATTATTAAAAGATACTACCATGGCTAGCTAGTATAGTAGCTTTTGTGGACAGCGCCAATTAATTACCTCTTGAACTGGATGTCGATGATGCCGGCGTGCCGCAGCTCGTCGTTGCGGTCGTCTTTTGCCATGGCTCCGAAGGCGGTGCCGCTGAGGTCGAAGTGGTAGGGGGCCACGGGGTAGTAGTTCATGTCCGTGATGATCACCGTCTCCGGCACGCCGGAGCACGCAGGGTGGGCCTTGCAACGGATCTGCAAATGCATATGCATGAGTGCCATGCCATTGCATGTACAGTACAGTAGGTAGGTAGGTAGCTAAAAGACATCGTCCTTGGCGCTGGCACGCATTGCGTTGCGTACTGGCAATGGCAAATATAATGCATGCATTACAGACCTGGTAGCAGGAGCCGCATCCTTTGCCGTCCTTGAAGAGTGGCTCGTTGCCGCAGGACGTCATCGCCGAGAAAGGTGGCAGGTTCACGCCCTTGAAGCCGCACGCGCCGCCGTTGTCGTCGGGCCCCGCCCCGTTGGGGGCGCCGTACCATGTCGCACGGGCGTTGAGCCACCCACCACTACTGCCGTTGCTTGCCGGCGGAGGCGGCGTCGTCGTCGGGGTCGGGTACAGGGGCGGCGGGACTGTACCAGCAGCACCACCAGGTGGAGCCGCCGGCGGAGGAGAAGGAGACGGGGTCGGGTACACGGGCGGCGGGACTGTACCAGCAGCACCACCAGGTGGAGCCGCCGGCGGAGGAGAAGGAGACGGGGTCGGGGCGGCATGGGCATGGCCTCCTCGTCCGCCCTGCTTGTGGCTCTTTCCGCCGGAACTACCACCACCATTGTTGTGCTTGGCGCAGTTGCTGCCGTGAGCCACCAGCAGGCACAGCAGCGCAGCAGCCACGGCGCGGGAGCACAAGGACCACAGTACCGCCATGCCGGCCACTATCTTGTTAGATCGCTCTGCGCTGCGTGCTTGCCTCGGCGGTGGATGGGCCTGCCGTCGGTTACCATGTCTCGTATTTATAGGACGGCCGGGATTGCATTTGGAGGTCGCGGCCACCGGACGGATCGGACAGACAGACACATGAACTGAAATGGACACGGGTCACGGGAGGCGTTATTAGTTAGTTACTCCAATCCGTCCGAATCCGATCCTAGCACTTGCAAATAAAATTGCATCGCGACCAAAATTCCAGACCAGCAGCACTAGCAAACCAATCCATCGGCCGGTATGCATTCACAACAGAAACCAGAGCCAACAATAGCAGGCCGCGGCCGGATAGCGAGCGCTACACGACGATGGGACCGGGCCGCAGCCAGCGGCGATCGCCGGCGGGCCCCGGCGCTGCTCACATGCGGGTGGAAGGGAGCGACACGCGACCACGACCCCCATCAGCTTCTGCCTGCGGGCCTGCCCACTCATCACTCATCACTCATCAGCTTGCTTGCCTGCTGGCCCGTGGCCTTGGGGGGTTCACGAGCCAGCCTTCTACTTGTACCTAGCTGTGATATATCCATCGATTCATCTGCCTGCCCCGCCCGCTCCAGGCCACATCGATCATCCCATCCCATCTCGATCCGCCACGCCCACACTTTTGATTCATTTGATTTGATACTCCTCCTCCTCTCATACTACATACATAGGGCCCGTCATTTGGTTGGGAAATTTGGTCTTTGGTTTAAATTTGGTAGTCTTTGGTTTTTTGAGAGAGAGAAACATTGTTATTTGGTTTGGTTTGGACCTGGTGAAACCAACAAGTTTAACAGACTGATAGTATTATGTGTCGTACTTCCTTCAGAAAAAGACATACCCAATTCTAGATCGATATATATCAAATTTAACTAAATTTATTTAAAAATACTACTCTATATAAGTATATATCATTAGAGTCGTCCTAAAATAAATTCTCAAAGTTTACCCATTTAGGTCTCATTTGGAAGCTCAGCACCTGTTTTCTTTTAAAAAAATAGGGTAAAATAAAAAAGTTGCATCTGAGGAACTCCTTAAAAACCACTCTCACAAGTCATCAATGCGAGATGGAACCGAAAATGGTATCTTCTTCTTTTTTAGCAACAAATAGTATCTTCTTCTACCTCCCACTCGCCTTGATGGGCCCGGCATGAGATTCTGTGAGAGCATGTTTTATGGTCTCTGTTTGGGACTGCTCCGCTCCATGTTCTTCAGCCAAACAAGTGCAGCTTCACAAACTCTGCTCCAGGAAAAAAAAGGCGAAGTTAACAGAGCACCTACAAGGAGTGTTCCAGAAACTTCAGGTTTTTTATGGAGCTGCTACGTGATGAAGTTTGTGGAGCAGAGTTGATGGACCAGACCTAAACAAACCCTCATGAAGCTCCGCATGTAGAGTCGTTTTGCCAAACACATGGTTCATCAAACCGGCTTGAGCTCTAACAGTAGGGCTGCTCGTGGAGCCGACGTGAAAAAACGACTTCACTAGTGAATTAGAGTTGTACTAAACATGGCCTTAAAAGTCACACGTGTGTTAATTAAACTGCAACAACCCTGATTTCCGCGAAGGGAAATCCACAGAGTCAAAGTGTAATAAGACCGTGGTAGATCATATTACCCAAATTCCAGTCGAATATCACATCCATACCATGATAATATCAGAGTACAAATAGTGCGGAATACATAAATTATTACATCGCCGCATTGACGGAATCAAAAGTAGCATTCATTTAGAACAGCTTGAAAATAAGATCGCCAAACTCGAGCGTAGCCACGAACCCCTCAACCGTCAAACTCCTCGCAGCTATACTCCTCAGCAGAACCTGTGTGCCAAAATTTATCAGTACGATTTGTGCTGGCCACTCCCAACCCTATGAGCATTGCTTTGTGGAAATTGGATGCAAGTTAGATATAATAAAAAGGAACCTATAAGGCTGGGGTTTCCTAGGTATTTAGCATATCAAGTTTATAATAACAGTTGGTCAAGTTTTAACACCATTCACACACCCATTCTACCCCATTCCTATTTCAGAGCCAGATTTCGATCCTGGAATCGATAAACCACCATCTCCACACCATCACCATACCACAGCCATATTATCGCTCAATCGACAGGCCAACTCCCTCTCGGCACTGTCTCAAGGCCCGTAGTCCCTGGCTACGTCCGAACACTCACTCCCAGGGGAGAAAAGGACTCATCTCACTATCTAGTTTAAGCGAAACCCAGAAAAGGTCCATTGCCGACGAGTCGGCATATGTATCGATCGATCAACCATACACTCTGCAGAGGTTTTACATAACCACATGATCTGCCTTCCTCGCTGACCGTCGTCAACTGGGCTGATTCCGACCGCTTGCTAGCCTAGGATAATGCCACTCTACCATTCAGCCCTGGTACACCCCAAGTCTAGTCTGGGGTGGCTGAAACTATGAGTCATGAGCCGGGTCCACAAGGTCTCCATGAAGTCTCGGAAGGGTGTGGGGGAAATCCTCCACGCCCCGTACCTCCTTACACTGTCCGCTATCAACCTAGCAGTAGTGGCAATATCCTACCAAGTAGTCCGGCCGTCCCACACCATATAGGGTGAGTGGTACGTAAGGCTTCCCGGTGAATCTGAGTACTAGTAAGTCCTTAGGGATGATCAAGCCAGAATGTCTCCATCAGGGTTTCCATTTACCGTGCCACCACAGCACCTCCACCCTAGGCTCCTCCCATCACAGGATCACACCCAGGGTCATCTCATATACCTTTTACCCACCACAGGTATCCATTCCAGGGGTGCCCAAGTAGCACCCCACGGCAAGACTTGCCCCAGGCTCGTCGTATACTCCAACTTGGTCGACACAACCCTCACCCTCCACACACCCAAGTCACACACGCAGCACTCTCCCCATGGTCCAGATAACACCAGTTTCCACCACGCATCAATGTAGTGCAAGCGTAGTAGAAGTAATAAGCGATGAAATGTAATAGCAAGCGTGTGACTAGCCTATCAGCAGGGTGAGTAGGGGTAAGGTTGCGTCAAGGTAAAGGCCATCAAGAAGACATACTACCATGCAAGTCCTACCATAATGTGATCATGACAATAAAGTAAGCACTAGTATTTCTATATTAGCCATGCGTAATAGGTGCTACGAGATTGGGTGGGATGTGGCACCTTCAGTGTAGTCGTCTCCGTACTTCTCACGGTACTCATGATCCTCGTCCGTCCGGTTCTCCTCCGAGTCTGCAAACGACCGTATTATAGTCGCGTTAGCGACGTCTATAGAATAGCACAAAGAAGCAATGAAAATTCAAAAGAACCAAATGCACTCAAGCATGGGTCCATTGCGTAGAGCTCAATTTTAGATGAATTTTGGTCCTAGTTTCGTATTTTTCTGAGGTCATATGAATTAGTTATGAATTTCCGAAGATTTAATCTATTTCTGAAAATGAAAAAGGGTAAATTAATCCTGGGCTGACACGTGTCATGCTGGGGTTGGTCCATGTGGCTTGCTGACGTCAGCATGACGTCACCTCGGCCGTGCTGCTACTGACAAGTGGGTCCCGCGTGACGTCAGCACGACGCCAGTATGACGTCAGGATCTGACGTGTGGGTCCAGTGTGTCTGTGCCACTGACATATGGGACCAGGTCAACAGTCATGGTTGACCAGTCAATGGTCAATACGGGCCGGGTCTCAAACTGGCCTGGACAGGGCTGGATTTGGGCCGGTGTGGGTCGGGCTGACACGGACACGTGGCGTGCTGTGGCGCTGCCACGTCATGGCCTTGGGCCTCCACTGGGCTGTGGTCGTCGGCTGTGAGCGTGAGCGTGGCTCACGGTGGACCAAGAGGCGCTGGTCCATGGACCTAAGGCAGGGCCCTGGTGGACCAAGTCCACCGTTATTTCCCTCGGCTTGGCTCTTGTGCACCGGGTGCAAGGCTGCGCTGCTCAACTCGCCCCTCCTCCTCTGTTTCTTCCACGGCGCGCTCCCGCCGGCGACGTACTCACCGGCGAGCTTCCGCAGCGGTGCTAGCGCCCAATTGGCATGGGAAAAAAACACCATCAGGCTTTGGCGACTGCGATGGTGGTGTCGGGGCGACGGCTAGGACTCCCTAGGTCACTGGCCACGGCGAACGGTGGCTCGAGCACAACCGGCGTGCGAGGGTGGCGCAGGTGCAGCGGCATAGGCTGGGTCTATGGTGCGTGTGAGCGTCATAGTGCTCCAGCAAGCATGTTGGGCAGGTCGAGGGGTCCTCCAGGGCCTCCGGTGGCCTTGGCCACGGCGGCGGCCTTCCGAGCACGACGACGGCGTTGGTGTGGGGGCTACGGCCACGGTGAAGCGTCTTGGTGGGGTGCGTAGGCTCCTATGGATCTGTGGGGACACGGCGAGGACATCCAGGGCTCAAGGCTGGGTTTCGGGTTTCCAGGTGGCTGGTAGGGGCTCCCCGGCGGCCACGGCGACATGGTGACGACGGCGAGGCACACGGGTGCACTACGGGGCTCCAACGGGGTGGTCACGGCGTGTTCGTGACTCCAGCGAACAGGATGGGCGAGACGAGGAGACGCCAGGCGCTCCCAGCGGACCTGGCCATGGTGGTCTGGTGCTCGGGCCGGTGGTGGTGGTGCTCTGGCCGATGGTCTGGTGCTCCGGCCGGTGGTCTGGTGCTCTGGCCAGTGGTCTGGTGCTTTGGCCGGTGGTGGCCACGCCACGACGGCGGCGTTGCGAGCGCGATGAGCGAGTGCTCTGCCTTGGCGTCTATGGGGCTTGGAGGGGTCTACAACGTCCAAGGGCTCGGAGGTGGTCGCGGTGGGCGCGTGAGTGTGCCGTGCGTGTGTACCCGGTGGCCGGAGATGGCCTTGGCCTACGCGCTCACGATGTGGAGCGCCTTGGCCGACACGGTAAGGTCCGGCGGCGAGCAGGGAGAGGCCGGAAGGCTCACCATAGGTGTTGAGGGTGAGAGGATAGCGGTGCAGTGAAGAGT